CTGCACCCGGCCGAGTTGTTCCTTTTGACTAAAGAATCAGTCACCAAGTTGTGTTCATCCTTGTGGCTTCTTGTCCAGCCTTTGTGTAGGGAGCAAAAGTCTGCTTGCTTCTTTGATGTCCTAAAATAAGACCTGTCTTCCAATTCAGGTCAAACAAGGCCACATGGCCAGAACCTAACATGATTATTTGTTGCAGTCGCTGAAAAGAGTTAAGTGTTTCTTCCAAACAGTGCAGGTCAGCAGCAAGGCGGGTCTGATTTTTCCTCCTCCTGCCCACTCCCTTCCTCCTACCCAAAGTCTCCCCTCACATGACCAGCCCTTCTTGTGAAGTCAAGGTGATTAACTTAGAGAACCAGGGCAGAGAGGAGATGGGAGTAGTAAGGAGAGAGAGAGGGGTGTCCTACCGGCTGGAGCTAAAATCCACCTCGGAGGCCAGGCGCACTGGCACACACCTCTAATCCCAACACTTTGAGAGGCTGAGACAGGTGGATTGTTTGAGGCCAGGAGTTCGAGACCAGGCCGCGTCACATGGCAAAATCCCCCCTCTACTAAAAATACAAAAATTAGCGAGGAGTGGTGGTGTGTGCGTGCCTGTATGCCCAGCTACTCAGGAGGCTGAGGTTTAAGGATCGCGGGAACCCAGGAGGCGGAGGTTGCAGTGAGCCAAGATCATGCCACAGCACTCCAGCCCGGGTGACAGAGACTCTTGTCTTCAAATTTTTTTAAATCCACTTTGGAGGCCAGGTGTGGTGGCCCACACCTGTAATGCCAGCACTTTGGGACGCCAAGTTAGGAGCACTGCTTGAGCCCAGGAGTTCAAGACCCTCTTGGGCAACAATATCAAGACCTCATCTCAATAAAATAATCCACCTTGGATTAACACATATCATCTCCTTTTCTGATAATCATTGGGCACCCGTTTTATGCCATGTGTGGTGTGTTCCACGGTCAGCAAAACAGATGCAGCAGTCCCTGCGGTAGGGAAGACTCAGTCCAGGAAGCTCCACACCAGCAAGAGGCGCTGTCCCGCCTTTTAACCAGGGAGCCCCTCTGTGTCCCTCACCTCCCCCTCTCTCAAGGCTGCCCTTGTCCATTTCACCTTCCAATTCAAACCTTGAAAATCCACCTCTAAGGCGAATGGGGGTGAGGACATACAGAAGAGAAACAGTATGTTCTCTCTTCACCTCTGCCCCGTGGGCTATGAATAAAGTCAGAAGACAAAATCCCCTACTTGGTTTTTGGGGTTTTTTTCCTATTCTAAATCAAAGACCAGAATCCTGGGGGTTCTCAAATGACCAAGCCTGACATTTTTAAAAGCAGACAGTCTTGCTTTGAAAAACCTTTTCCAGTCCCCACAACCAATTTCAGCTGATTAAATTCAATCAATCATGCCTTAAGACTGGCCAGGATTTGTTGACTTCAACTTGAATATCTGCATCTTATTTGTGCCGTGTTTTCTGCCATTAAAAAATAGATGTCTATTGCCATAGGACTACAGCTACAAGTTTAAAATAGATTTATAAAAAAATCTATCCCACCCATGAAGGTTTCTTTGCTAAGGAAATATGTTTCCTTACAACCCACAGGCGAGGAAACGAGACCTCTTTCGTTCCTTCTAGAAGGTCTGGAGGACGTCGAGTTATTGAAAATGCAGATGGTTCTGAGGAGGAAATGGACACTCGAGATGCAGACTTCAACGGAACCAAGGCCAGTGAATAAGCAACTGTCTAGAGTTTTGCACCACGGCAAGAAAAACCAAAAACCAAAGAACCCGAAACAAAGCAAAACCCAGCAGACTGTACTTTGTCTAAATCCATTCTCAAATTCCAAACATCACAGACACCTTTCACACAAGAAATACAAAAACCACCACCCTCCAGCCTGGGCAACGTAGTGAAACCTTGTCTATCCAAAAATTTAAAAATAAGCTGGGCGTGGTGGTACACGCCTGTGGTCCCAGCTACTACAGAGGCTGAGCCAGGAGGATCGCTCAAACCCAGGAGTTCGAAAATGCAGTGAGCTGTAATTGCATCACTGTACTCCAGCCTGGGCAACAGAGATCCTGTCTCAACAACCCCCACCCCCACTACCCCTGTATTCTAGGTATAAATTGAATTTTGTATGATGTAAGGGACGAGAAAAACCCAACAGGAAACAGACACATCCTCCAGTTCTATGGATTGTGCAGACATTGAGTTTCTAGAAAAACATATCCATGGTAACTGGTCCCTGGCAATTTTGTTTACATGAAATGGGGAGAAAGTCACCGAAATGGGTGTCGCCGCCACCCACCCCCCTTCATTCCCTAACCTGCGAACCTTTCCAACTTCTCACATCAGGCCTTTCAGACTTCTTTCCTCCTCTCCTGGTTTCCACACCTCAGACACGCACAGTTCACCAAGTGCCTTCTGTAGCCACATGAATTGAAAAGGAGACGCTGCTCCCATGGAGGGAAGCAGGAATGCTGCACTGTTTACACCCTGACTGTGCTTAGAAACACCTTCACTAATAAACGGTTATAAATCACAGTGTCGTTGGCTGTTCTGTTGAGCTGTCTTCTAGAGAGGAAAAGAAATTGGGGAAAGCTGGGTTTTGCTTCATTGTCCCAAAGACTCTCTGATGTCAGGGTTATTTCATGAATGGAGTAACTGAGGCCTAGAGAGGTGAAATCAATTGCCTATGACCCCACAGCCAGTAAAAGAGCAGAGCAGAGATGCAAAGCGAGACTGTCTAAGGGGGTTATTGGGCCGTTCGGCGGGGTGGGCGGGGGAAGAGAAATAAGGTGATGTGTGGTCCAAGGGCCACTGCCCCCTGCCTTGAAGATGACTGGGAAGAACATCTTCACTCATCAAAACCAGTATCATACGAAAAATACAGGATTTCCTTGATTTTTTAAGTTAAAACACAAGGTCTTCCCAATGAGTCAGTAAACACTTTCTACAAAAAGTCAGATGGTGGCTGGGTACAGTGGCTCACACCTGTAATCCCAGCACTTTGGGAGGCTGAGATGGGAAGATCACTTGAGGCCAGGAGTTGAAAACCAGCCTGGCCAAGAGAGACCCCCCTTCCTATTAAAAAAAAAAGTTTTTGTAAGTAAACCAGGCAGGATAGTGCACACCTGTACTCCCAATTACTTGGAAGGCTGAGGCAGGAGGATGTGAGCCAGGAGTTTGAGGCTGCAGTGAGCTATGATCACGCCACTGCACTGCAGCCTAGAACAGTAAGACCCTGTCTCACACACCACCACCACCCAGTCAGATAGTATTTTAGCCTTTACAGGCTACATATGGTCTTGCCAAATATTCATTTTTTAAAACAACCCTTAAAAACATAATAAATCATTCTTAGAGTAAGGGCCATAACAACAAGCTGTAGACCCTATCCTTCTTTCAGCTTGAGTGTTTTAGACAGACATGCCTGCAAGGCTCTGTTCCACACAAACGATGCGGTAAACCACCAACTCCGTGGGATCAGACAGATTTGGGAGACCGGAAACATGGCAACGGAGGACTCCACCCTGCGACCAGATGCTAATATGCCTTGAATGACGCACAAACACATCCCATGTACGTTTCTAAAAACCTGGCTTGAATAGAAAATTTTAAAAAGATTTTTTCACATTTTATGACTTGGCTAAAAAAAGTTTTTCACCACTCTATGAGAAAACATGGAAGTACAAACATACAAAGCCTCTTTGACCACCAGCCCAAACCAGTTCAACATTCACTTCTCTTGATTTTATTGATCTTTTAAAAAAATAAAAGGACATCTTTTATGGATACAGGTTAGGATGTTTCTAGGGTAAGAAACCCACCATCGCAGTTTAATTCTCTGCGGAATTTCAGTAGCACTTGGAAAGTTCTGCTTTCAACCTGAAATTTTTGCTGTTCTTCCAGAAAATAACTTAGTAACAAAATGAAGGCCCTGAAGCTGCAGGCACACTCCAGAAATTAGTGTGTTCTTTAACTTGTGTCCCAAAGAGACAGCAGTTCCTAACACGCAGTGATGAGCGGACACACCGTGGTGTGTTGGAAATCCCGTGTTCACGTCTTTGACAAGGAAGCCTCCAACAATGATCTCGTGCTTTATTCTTATTTGAAAATCACCCTGGTTACTTCATTATGACTTTGAATGAAGTCCTGCTTAGTGGCTGCATTACCATGGCCACCCCCAAAGACCCCTCGGGGTCCTGAGGCAGAATTCCCCCCGCCCCACCAGGGGACTCAGGAAAATGAATGATTGCAGTTTGCCAAAAGAGGACAGATTTCCCACTGATGCTGGTTGGTCTGGAAGATTACTCTGGAAACTCAAACACACCTCTAGAAATCTCAATGAGAAGCAGGCTACAGTCTCAGAGGTTTACGCCACTTTTGTTTTTTTTTTTTTTTTTGGAGACGGAGTCTCGCTCTGTTGCCCAGGCTGGAGCACAGTAGCGCCATCTTGGCTCACTGCAACCTCCACCTCCCAGGTTCAAGCAATTCTCCTGCCTTACCCTCCAGAGTAGCTGAAATTACAGGTGCCCACCATTGCACTCAGCTAATTTTTTGTATTATTAGTAGAGATGGGGTTTCACACCATGTTGGCCAGGCTGCTCTCCAACTCCTGACCTCAGGTAATCCACCCACCTCAGCCTCCCAAAGTGCTAGGATTATAGGCCTAAGCCACCACGCCCAGCCTATTCCAGTTTTTAAAAGCGCATGTGACCATTCTGTTCTTGGTTATTAGACATGATTTCAGTACACCACAAAGCATTGGGAGATTTTGTTCTGGAAGACAATTCCAGCTGGTTGGGGGCTGGGGGAAGAGTCTCTGAGAGAAGCTCCATCCCACATTTAAGGAGACTTGGGACATTAACACCACCTGTCAAGACCAATCAGGGGCCAGGCGCGGTGACTCACGCCTGTAATTCCAGCACTATGGGAGGCTGAGACGGCAGGATCACTTGAGGCCAGGAGTTCAAGACCAGCCTGGCCAACATGGTGAAACTCTGTTTCTCACTAAAAATACAAAATTAGCAGGTGTAGTGGCACATTCCTGTAGTCCCAGCTACTCAGGAGGCTGAGATAGGAGAATCGCTTGAACCTGGGAGGCAGAGGCTGCAGTGAGCCGAAATCGCACCACTGCACTCCAGCCTGGACGAGACAAGGCAAGAGCATGACTGTCTCAAAAGAGTAAGAAAAAAATAAAGACCAATCAGGACTCTGCTTGGCTTAGCTCAACATGATGGGGTATGGGAGCAACGGTTCACGCTTGAAATCCTAGCACTCTGGGAGCCCGAGGTGGGAGGATCACTTGAGGCCAGGAGTTCAAGACCACCCTAGGCAACATGGCAAAATCCCGTCTACTACTGAAAATACAAAAAATTTAGCCAGGCCTGGTGGTGGGTGCCTGTAAATCCTAGCTACCTGGAAGACTCAGGCACAAGAACGGTTTGAACCCAGGAGGCGGAGGCTGCAGTGAGCTGAGATCATGCCACTGCACGCCAGCCTGGGCGACAGAGTGAGACTATCTCAAAAACAGAAACAACAGGGTAGCCTCATCACCAACACCTTAGAGCCCTTCCCAGAGAGCCCCATTTGTCCCTCTTTGCAATGCACACAGTGGCAGGCAGGGATGAGGAGACATTTCCCAGGGACAAACCCCAGAGCACAGGTGATGGCCTCAGTCATTGGCTTGGGCCGCAAAGCGAACTATGGAGACTGCTCTTATTTCTCAAACTAACTTAAAATAAAACCTAGTGTAAAAAAGACGGCAAAAGGGAACGACTCGCACCGACACCAAGAGCTTCGGCTTCCGTGGTTTTCCTAAAGCAACATCTTGACTACCCCTTGGGCTGACGGCAGCGGCGATGAAGACATGTGTGAAGGCGGCTTCCCAAATTCCAGGCGCTTCCCCAACCTTCAGACAGAGCAAACCAAATTAAGCTGACATGACAGCTGTGACAAACTGGCTAGCACCGGGGCCCACAGAGTTATAAGGGTGAACATCAAGAGTCGGGAGCAGGGTCTCACAGGGTCTCAATTTTCTCTCCTGTGAAATGAAGAAGAGGACACTGGCTACCTGGCTCTCAGATTTCAAGGTCACACAAAACGCCCAGTCTCAGACCCACTAGAAAAATCCATCTCTTACCTATTGTTTGTTTATTTTACAGCCTGGGCAACACAGTGAGACCCTGTCTCTACAAAAAATGCAAACAAAAATTAGCTGGGTGTGGTGGCCTGCATGTGTAGTCCCAGCTACTTGGGAGGCTGAGGTGGAAGGATTGCTTGAGCCCAGAAGGTGGAGGTTGCAGTGAGCCAAGATCATGCCACTGCAGTCTAGTCTGGGTGACAGAGTGAGACCCTGTCTCAAAAACAAGGCCAGGCATGATCGCTCATGCTTGTAACCCCCAGCGCTTGGGAGGCCAAAGTGGGAGGATTGCCTGAAAAACCAACCAGGAAACTCACCTCTAGAAATCTCAATGAGAAGCAGACTACAGTCTCAGAGGTATATTCTCAAACTCAAAGCCAGGAGGTTTGAGACCAGTCTGGGCAACATAGCAAGACTTTCTATAAAACATAAAAAAAATTAGCCAGGGGTAGTGGTGTGCACCTGCAGTCCCAGCTACTTGGGAGGCTGAGGCAATATGGCTTGAACCCAGGAAGATGAGGCTGCAGTGAGCTATGGTCGCACCACTGCACTCCAGCCTGGGTGACTCAGCAAAACCTTGTCTCGTAGGAGGGGAAAAAAAAAAAAACCCAGAAAAATTAATTTTTTTTTTTGAGAAAGAGTCTCACTCTGTTGCCCAGACTGGAGTGCAGTGGTGCAACCTTGGCTCACTGCAACCTCCAACTCCGGGGTTCAAGTGATTCTTGTGCCTCAGTCACCGGAGTAGCTGGGACTACAGGCATCCGCCACCATGCCTGGCTGATTTTCATATTTTTAGTAGAAATAGGGTTTCACCATGTTGCCCAGTTTGGTCTTGTGAACTCCTGGCCTCAAGTGATCCACCCTCCTCTGCCTCCTGAAGTGCTGGGATTACAGGTCTCAGCCACTGCACCTGGCCTAAAAAACCACGTGTAAAGGTCTGAAAGTTATGTGCATGCCATGGAAAAGATTCTTTGTTTCCTGCCACGTGTCTGCTACAAACCCATCAAATTCCTATGGCTTGGGGCCCAGAGAGATGGCAGTCACACACCTTGCAGAATTCCTGAATCTGAAAGCTGCCCCCTTTTTTTTTTTTTTTTTTTTCCCCCTGAGACAAGGTCTGGCTTCATCACCCAGGCTGGAGTGCAGTGGCTGGGAACATGGCTTACTGCGGCCTCAACCTCCTGAGCTCAATTGATCTGCTGGCCTCAGCCTCCCAAAGCGCTGGGATTACAAGTGCGCGCCACTGTGCCTGGCTCTGACTTTCTTTAGGCAAGAAAATCAATGACACTGTTAGAGGTCAGATCTGCACTGTCCCATCGGGTGGCTGGTTTCAGGAACATAGGCTGGCTAGAACTTAGTGCCAGTTTCTCAAAGGTTCTACAGATTTAAAAAGGAAATAAAAAAGGCCGGTTGCAGCGGCTCATGCCTGTAATCCCAGCACTTTGGGAGGCCGAGGTGGGTGGATCACAAGGTCAGGAGATCAAGACCATCCTAACACGGTGAAACCCCGTCACTACTAAAAATACAAAAAACTAGCTGGGCGTGGTGGCACACGCCTGTAATCCCAGCTCCTCGGGAGGCTGAGGCAGGAGAATTGCTTGGACCTGGGAGGCAGACGTTGCAGTGAGTTGAGATCATGCCACTGCACTCCAGCCTAGGCGACAGAGAAAGACTCCGTCTCAAAAAAAAAAAAAAAAATCTTCAGGCGAAGCAGAGCCGTGATTGATGCTCAATTCCCCAAATAAGGGCTTTATTTTTATTTAACTACTAACTTTTTGATATGGAGTCTTGCTCTGTCGCCCAGGCTGCTGTGCAGAGGTACAATTTTGGCTCACTACAATCTCTGCCTCCAAGGTTCAAGTGATTCTCCTTCCTCAGCCTCCCGAGTAGCTAGGACTATAGGCACATGCTACCATGCCTGGCTAATTTTTCTATTTTTTGGTGGAGATGGGGTCTTACCAATGTTGCCCAGACTGGTTTTGAACTCCTGACCTCAAGTGATCCACCTGCCTTGGCCTCCCAGACTGCTGGGATTACAGGCGTGCGACACCACACCTGACCCAAATAAGGGTTTTACAGAGGACATTCTCACAGTGTAACCATGAGTAGCAGCTGTAGAATCAAAAGACAAAAATGACCCTCTTGGCCAGGCATGGTATCCCACACCTGTCGTCCCAGCACTCTGGGAGGATGAAGGGTGAGGATCGCTTCAAGTTCAGAGTTTGAGACCAAACTCAGCAACATGGCAAAACCCTGTCTCTAGAAAAAAATACAACAACTTAGCCGGGTATGGTGGCACACACCTGTACTCCCAGCTACTCAGGGGACTGAGGTGGGAGGACTGTTTGAGCCGGGAGGCAGAGGGTGAGCCATGGTCCTGCCATCGTAGTCTAGCCTGGGTGACAGAGTGAGACCCTGTCTCACAAAACAAGACCCTCTCTCCAGCCATTTGTCCAAGCCACAAGACACCACCTAATGCTGCCTGCAGGGAGCAGAGGAGAGGATAAGGTTTGCTAAAATAATCCTATAATTTAAAAAGACACATGGCTGTGGGTGGAGGGTGAGTGTTTCTTGCCTGGGGCAGGCGGGTTCTCCCCGCAAGCGAGAGGTTTATTAGAAGGTACTGACCCCTTATCGCCCAACGGCACGCTGCTGCTGCTCGGCCGTCTCTCACCACCATCTCTGTTCTTGCTGCTCCGCCCAGAGGCTGGGCCACCTGTTCGGTTTGGGGACTGATCGTACACGAGGTTCCGGCAGGAAGCGAGTTTGGACTCCAGTGCCTGGAGAGAAATACACTTTTATCTCTCAAGTTATAGGCAAGGACTATTCTGTCTTACCGGAGCCCATACAGAAGAACGAACCCCAGAAAGTGGTTCTCAAACTGCTGTGCACTGGAATTCCAAAGTGGGACCCCAAGAAGAATCCAATGTATATGCCAGTCTCAGAACCAAGCACCTTAAGTATCTGGGAGCTGGCTGGGCACAATGGCTCACACCTGTAATCCCAGCACTCTGGGAGGCCAAGGCAGGAGGATGGCTTGAGCCCAGGAGTTTAAGACCAGCCTCGGCCACAAAGTGAGATCCCATCTCAGTTTTTTTGGTTTTTTTTTAAACTTTTTTAGTCAAGGTCTCACTGTGTCACCCAGGCTGGAGTGCACTGGTGAGATCACAGCTCACCGCAGCCTCAACCTTCCAGGCTCAACCAATCCCTCCCACCGCAGCCTCCTGAGCAGCTGGGATTATAGGCGTCCGCAATCATGCCCAGCTAATAAAAAAAATTTTAATGCAAAAACTCTTTTAATTACAAAAAATTTTTTTAAATGTTTGGGAGCTTCCTGGAAAAAGATCACAGCTCACTGCAGCCTCAACCTCCCAGGCTCAGGCAATCCTCCCACCTCAGCCTCCTGAATAGCTAGGACTATGCACAATCATGCTCCACAAAAAAAAAAAAAAAAAAAATTAATGAAAAAAAATTTTTTAATTACAAAGAATTGAAAAAAATGGGAGCTTTCTGGAAAATCACTAACCTAACCAATTATCCAACTCCACTCGTAGAAAGTAGGAAATCCACTTCTGGAATCCTTCACTCTTTCCTTTACCTTGTTAAACCTCTGCAGAATGGCAGGAAGTTTGACAAGGACTTGGTCTGGCTGCAACAGACCCTGAGGAAACCAAAAGGACACTGACAGCACCCCGGGCTTCTCTATACTCCAACTAGGCTAAATATCGAAACGCGGACCCGTTTCTAGAATAGCAAACCAGGCAGCCAAAAGCGAGGAGTAAAAACACAGAAGAAATGAGATGCAAGCTTCTACTAAGTTGTAGCTATGAATACACTGTGTACAGTGACAACTTGGTAGGAGTTAAGTGGCCTTCCAGGAATCATTTTTAAAAATAAACTACAAAGAATACCTATGTTTTTGCTTAAGCACAAAAGGATCCCTCCCTATAATTAACACAAAAGCTGAAAGGCCAAGTTCTTTACCTTAGGCTTTCAAGATTGACTGATTGATTGATTGAGATCAAGTCTCACTGTCAGCCAGTGGCACGATCTCAGCTCACTGCAACCTTTTTCTCCCGGATTCAAGCAATTTTCCTGCCTCAGCCTCCCAAGTAGCTGGAATGATAGGCGCCCACCACCACGCCTGGCTAATTTTTGTATTTTTAGTAGACATGGTGTTTCACCATGTTGGCCAGGCTGGTCTTGAATTCCTGACCTCAGGTGATCCATCCATCTCGGCCTCCCAAAGTGTCAAGATTCTCTTAAACCCCGAGAAACAACCAAAAAAAAAAAAAAGCGGCAGTTTTTTTCTTTTCTGAGACAACGTCGTGCTGTCACCCAGGATGGAGAGCAGTGATGCAATCTCAGCTCACTCAGCCTCGACCTCCCAGGCTCAAGCAATTCTGCCACCTCTCGGCTTCCTTAGTAGCTAAGACCACCAGTATGCACCACCAGGCCTGGCTAATTTTTGCATTTTTGTAGAGGCAAGTCGGGGCAGGAGGTTTCACCATACTGCCCAAGCTGGTGTCAAACTCCTGAGCTTAAGTGACCCTCCCAAACTACTGGGATTGTAGGTATGAGCCACTGCACCCAGCCAAAAGAGAAGGCAGTTTCTAAACACTCCTCAGTTTTTCAAATTAAGGAAAAAACTCATCTTAATTTCTCAAATTGCCTAGAGAAAAAATGGTAAAAGGAAAAAGACATACATAGAGTTCAGAGCAATGCTTAGGGTCAGAGCTCTGAGTGTCTGGCAGTAACTCCCACAGAAAGTTCTAACGATTCCCAGGGATGCTAAAGGAGCAGCCACATCTAAAACTCACCACATTGCTATTAAAGGGGTTGGACGCATTGGCTCATGCCTGTAATCCCACAACTTTGGGAGGCCAACCTGGGAGGATCCCTTGAGGCCAGGAATTTAAGACCAGCCTGGGCAACACAGCAATACCCTCGTTACTACAAAAAATGAAAACATCAGCCAGGCATGGTGGCGCACACCTGTGGTCCAAGTTCCTTGGGAAGCTAAGGTAGGAGGATCGCTTGAGACCAGGAGTTTGAGGAGTTCAAGGTTGCAGTGAATTGTGATCATACCACTACACTCCAGCCTGGGCAACAGAGCAAGACCCTGTCTCTTAAAAAAGGAAAAAAATAAGAGGGCAGAAACTAGATCAACCCCCCTTCACACATCCTGAAAGAGAGGCAGGAAGGCACCAAACACCAGAAAAGTGTGTTCTTACCCCAACTTTCCGCAGTAGGTCTCCCACGATGTTGAGGGCTGATATCCGGGCCGCAGGCGTGAGGGGAGTTCCCCCAGTGGAGTCGTCCAGGCCTGGGTGTGCAAAGGGAAGAGCATATAACTCACCAATCTATAGTCATGTCCGTGAACTAACATCAGTAGGTTCCAAACCACAGGACAGGAGGGGCGCTGACGCCTTTCCTCAGATCCCAAAAGCTACCCTATTTCTTTCCGTAGTTAACTGCATCACACGCCCAAGGCCTATATGACAACCAATTTTTCAAGTCCTTGTGATGACTGCAATAAATATTTATTTTTACATGTTAGTCTTTAAAAGTTTTTTTTTTTAGACGTTGTCTTGCTGTCACCCAGACTGGAGTGCAGTGATGTGATCTCGGCCCACCGCAACCTCCACCTCCCAGGTTCAAGCGATTCTCCTGCCTTGGCCTCTTGAATAGCTGGGATTACAGCCATGTGCCACCACACCCGGCTCATTTTTATATTTTTTATAGAGAGTTTCACCACGTTGTCTAGGCTGGTCTCGAACTCCTGACCTCAAATGATCCGCCCGCCTTGGCCTCCAAAAGTGCTGGGATTACCGGCATGAGCCACCATGCCTGGCCTTTTAAAAAAAATTTTTTTTGAGAGAGATAGGGTGTCACTATGTTGCCCAGGCTGATCATGAACTCCTGGTCTCAAGCGATCCTCCCACCTCGGCCTTTCCAAGGTTGGTATTTACAGGCATGAGCCACCGTGCCCAGCCATATTAGTCTTTTTAAAAAAAACCCAAAACAAATCCTTTTGAAATTGTAGGAAATCCATATAATTAATTAACATAATGGCATCGGTGATAGATATAAGAACTATATAGACAGGATGATCCAGCTTTACAAGGGTTCAGCTCTGCAAGCCTCTCTTGTCCAAGTGGGGTCCATGCACCAGCAGCACCTGAGAACTCTTAGAAATGCAGAATCTCTCGGCCAGGCATGGTAGCTCACACCTGTAATCCCAGTGCTTTCGGAGGCCGAGGCATGGAGTTGCATGCCTCTAGTCCCAGCTACTCAGGAGGCTGAGGCAGGAGGATCACTGGAGCCCAGGAGTTGGAGGCTGCAGTGAGCTAAGATTGCACCACTGCATTTCAGCCTGGGCCACAGACCAAGACTGTGTCTTTAAAGGAAAACAAAACAAAACAAAACAAAAAAACAATGAAATAAAGTATGCAAAATGGCTCTAGACTGGGGCCAGACACAACAGCTCACACCTGTACTACCACCACTTTCAGAGGCTGAGGCAGGCAGATTACCTGAGGTCAGGAGTTTGAGACCAGCCTGGCCAACATGGTGAAACCTTCTCTACTAAAAATACAAGATTAGCCAGGCTTGGTGGTGGGTGCCTGCAATCCAAGCTTACTCGGGAGGCTGAGGCAGGAGAATCACTTGAACCCGGAAGGGGTTGCAGTAAGCCAAGATCGCACCATTGCACTCCAGCCTGGGTGACAGAGCGAAACTCCATCTCAACAAAAAACAAAACAAAAGGGCCCTGGCACTGGGATTCTACAAATCTCACTGGTCTCTTCATGCCCAGGAGACAAGCTAAGGGATGAGGCAGTAGATGGCAGGCTAAGATCTGGAGCCTGCCTGCCTGGGTCTGAATCCCAAACCATCTGCCATTCAATTGCTTTATGACTCTGCTCAACTCAGGGCCTCACTTCCATCAAACGGGGACAGCACTTGCATCCTGGGCCTGCGGCGAAGGCTCAGGGTGGCCAGCACACACTGAGCACCCCATAACTGTCTGTTATTAGTATCTGCTGTAAAAGGCCTGATTGGAAGCTGTCGGCAAAGGGTCTGGGGTGAGAATTCAGATTCTTTTCCCTGCCCACGCAGCACAGGTTACACTGAGTGTAGCTCTCGGTGGATGCATTACCAAACCCACCGAATGCTTTTTACTTTTTTGTATTTGGTTAGTGACATTTCAAATTTGGGAGGTTTTATATTCAAAAAGAGGATTTTGGGCCAGACGCAATGGCTCACGCCTGTAATCCTAGCACTTTGGGATCAGCCGAAGCGGGAAGATCACTTGAGTCCAGGAATTTGATAGCAGCCTGGGCGACATGGCAAGGCCATGTCTCCACGTAAAATACAAAAGTTAGCCAGGTGTGGTGGCGCACGCCTTTATTCCCAGCTACTCCGGAGGATGAGGTGGGAGAATCACTTGAGCCCATGACGCAGAGGTCGCAGTGAGCCAAGATCACGTCACTGCACTCCGGCCTGGATGACACAGTGAGATCCTGTCTCAAAAAAAGCCAACAAAAAAAAAGGATTTCTGGCTTTGAAGAATGGAAAAAACTGCAGATGAGGGGCCGTTCCTCCTAGCTGCAGAGTGGCAGCCACCCGCTCTGGGTGGGGTTTCCATTTCCCAGCGCATCACAGACCCCACTACTCCCTCACACCCACTCTCACTGATCTCAATTGCACATCCCCAGGAACATCCCGGTCTAGTCTCTGCTCAAAGCCTGAGAGTAAATCAGGCTCTGAGCCTGGTGCAAATCATCACACACCCAGGACCCACCCCAGATTCTTACCCAGAAACACTTTGTGAACTGAGAAAATCCTCCAATTCCCACTCCCCTTACCACGTCTGAAGCTCCCGGGTGTGTTTAAACTCGAGCTGGGTCCTCGGTGAGCGATGGGCGTGGAGGGCACAGAGCCCGTGGCCTGCACAGCTGTGTCTGTCCTCTCAGCTTGCACTGAGCTGGGCATGGGGGTCCTGGGTTTCTCCTGCTTCTGCTGCACGGCCAGTTCCTGCCGCAAATCTGTGCCAGGAAAAGGATTCAGGAATTCAAGTCCTCGGCCGAGCGCCGTGGCTCATGTTTATAGTGCCAGCACTTTGGGAGGCCAAGGCCGGCGGATCGCCCAAGGTCGAGTTTGAGCCCAGCCTGACCAACATGGTGAAACCCCATCTCTATAGAAAATACAAAAAGCAGCCGGGCATGGTGGCAGACACCTGTAACCTCAGCTACTCAGGAGGAAGAGGCACGAGAATCACTTGAATCTGGGAGGCCAGGGTGGCAGTGAGCTGAGATTGCTCCAGTGCACTCCAGTCTGGGTGACAAGAGCAAGACTCTGTCTCAAAAAACAAAAAGGGAATTTAAGCCCTTGCTTAGGGTTGGTGGGGTGCAGGTATAGAGGTTCAACAGTAGATACTGGTCAGAAAAAAGACCTACTGGGGTGAAACACTCCAGGTGGAAACTCCAAATAAAGGGAAACCCACAGGACCTTGCCTAGCAGACTTAACTCTACAGGATTTTTCTCTTGACTAACAAAATAGTTTCAGATTTTTAAAAAGCTATGACAGTGACACACTAATGCTTTTATTATTGAAAAAACAATTCCAACATAGCAGTGTATTTAGAATACTAAATGAAAGTATGCCCAGGAGCAGTGGCTCATGCCTGCAATCCCAGCACTTTGGGAGGCTGAGGTGCAAGAATCTCGTTAATCCAAGAGGTCAAGGTTGCAGTGAGCCATGATGGTGCCACTCCACCCCGGGTGACAGAGTGAGACCTCTGGCAAAAAAAAAAAAAAAGCCGGACACAGTGGCTCACGCCTATAATCCCAGCACTCTGAGAGGTCTAGGTGGGAGGGTCGCTTGAGGTCAGGAGTTTGAAGCCAACATGGCAAAACCCCGTCCCTGTTAAAAATACAAAAAATTAGCCATACATGGTGGCGTGTGCCTGTAGTCCCAGCTGCTTGGGAGGCTGAGGCAGGACAATTGCTTGAGCCTGGGGGACCGAGATTATAGTGAGCTGAGATCACGCCACTGCACTCCAGCTTCTGTGACAGAGCAAGACTGTCACAAAAACAAAGTATGCTTTCCAGACTATCCCCAAACACTCCTCACTCATAATCACCATAACATATGGGAGAGCTTTCAACCATTGTTCTCTGAATTATTATTATTATTATTATTTTTGAGATAGAGTTTCACTCTGTTGCCCAGGCTGGAGTGCAATGGCACAGTCTCGGCTCACTGCAACCTTTGCCTCCCGGGTTCTTCAAGTGATTCTCCTGCCTCAGTCTCCCAAGTAGCTGGGATTACAGGCACGCACCACCATGCCTGGCTTTTTTTTTTAAACAGAGACGGGGTTTCACCATGTTGTCCAGGCTGGTCTCGAACTCCTGACCTCAGGTGATCCACCCACCTCAGCCTCCCAAAGTGCTGGGATTACAGGCATAAGCCACTGTGACTGGCTGTTCTCTCCATTTTCAAACATAAACTTTATAACATACATATGTACCTACTGAGCATAAAATAAGAACATTTTTTATTAAGCATTACTGGAAACATACAATATCTTGTCCTGTGTATGACTTACTCTCCCACCTTCAGTGGTATGTCTTGGCAATGTTTTTTGTTTTAGAGACAGGGTCTGACTCAAGTCACCCAGGCTGGGGTGCAGTGGCACAATCATAGCTCAAGGTAACCTTGAACTCCTGGGCTCAAGTCATCCTCCCACTTCAGCCTCCTCAGTAGTTGGGACTACAGGCATATGCCACTAGGCCTAGCTAATTTTTACACTTCATTTTTGTAGAGATGGGGTCTCACTATGCTGTCCAGGCTCATCTTGAACTCCTAAGCTCAAGCAATCCTCTTGCGTCCATCTCTCAAAGCACTGAGATTACAGGCATCAGCCACTGTGCCTAGCCTTGCCAATCTTTCTACCACAATATTGTTCATTTTAACAATTTTTTAACATTTCACATAATAAATCTATGTACTTCATTTAACCACTTCATTACTGATGGCCATCTAGGAACAACTACTTTATTAAACTTAGAAATTTTTACTTTTCATCCCCCACCTACTGGTTACACATTACAAAGCAAAGTGACGTTATAAACAATTTATTGGGCTGGTAACAGTAACTAACCCCTGTAATCCCAGCACTTTGGGAGGCCATTTCATCCCCCACCTACTGGTTACACATTACAAAGCAAAGTGACGTTATAAACAATTTATTGGGCTGGTAACAGTAACTAACCCCTGTAATCCCAGCACTTTGGGAGGCCAAGGCAGGCAGATCACCTGAGGTCAGGAGTTCAAGACCAGCCTGGCAAACATGGTGAAATCCCGTCTCTATTAAAAAATATTAAAAATTAGCCAGGCATGGTGGCGTACACCTGTAGTCCCAGCTACTGGGAAGGCTGACGCAGGAGAATCGCTTGAACCCGGGAGGCAGAGGTTGTAGTGAGCAGAGATAGCACCACCGTACTCCAGCCTGGACAACAGAGGAAGACGCCATCTCAAAAAAAAAAAAAGATAGGGTAAAAACAACTTGGACAATCCACTAATGAATGTCTTTTTTTTCTTTTTTGAGACAGAGTCTCACTCTGTCACCTAGGCTGGAGTGCAGTGATGCAATCTTGGCTCACTGCAACCTCCATCTCCCAGGTTCAAGCAATTCTCCTGCCTCAGCCTCCTGAGCAGCTGGGATTACAGACGTCCGCCACCACACCCTGCTCATGTTTTCTATTTTTAGTAGGGATGGGGTTTCTCTATTGTCCAGGCTGGTCTTGAACTCCTGACCTCAGGTGATCTACCTGCCTCAGCCTCCCAAAGTGCTGGGATTACAGGTATGAACCACTGTGCTTGGCTAAATACCTCATTACAGTCTGAACGTTCTACCTCTGCAAGTGCCGACTGCTAAACAGCAAATGCTGACGAGGTTTCCAAGTTCTAAACCAAATATATCGGTTGCCATCAAGTCACAGAAATAATAGGCTAGCTGGCAATGCCACCAGAAATTTCTCCCCATAAAATCTTTTAAGAGACAGGGTCTCATTCTGTCACGTAGACTGGAGTGCACTGGTGCCATCATAGCTCATGGCACGCTCCACCTCCTGGGCTCAAGTGATCAATCGCACCTTGGCTTCCTGAGTAGCTGGGACTACAAGCACATGTCCCCACACCCAGCTAATCTAATTTTTTTTTCGTAAAGATGGAGTCCCATTATACTGCCTAAGGTGGTCTCGAACTCCTGGGCTCAAGAGATCCTCGGCCTCCCAAAGTACTGGGATTACAGGTGTGACCCACTGTGCCAGGCTCTCCCCACAACACTCTTCTGTTCCTACTGAGCATCAGGATGGTTTGCTGTGTGTGTGAATTACAGACCAGGAAGCACCTTTCTGGAAACTGGAAATTCTGCTGCCCAGAGGCAGAACCCCAATACAAGGACTTCATCTGTGAACCCCAAAGCTATTTCTCTAAATACCCATAAGGGGCCCTTACAGGGTTGCATGTCTTACGGTTCTCAGCTCCGGCCAGGGCCCAAGGCAAGAGTCTGCCCGGTGCAGCCCCACACCCTCTCACTAGACAGCCTGGGCACAGAGCAGGGTGCAGGGTCCCTGTAAAGATAATGCTGGGAGGGGCCATGGGACTAGATGTTGCTCAGGCAGGGAATGGGGACCATGCTGGTGAAGACACCAAGGCTTCCTGACCTCTGGCTTCATCCTTCAGTCTCTGAACAGATTCCAGGAGATTCTCTTTTTCATCAAGTTCACTTTCCAAGAAGGCGTTTCTTTCAATGGCCTGATTCAAGCGCTGCTCAAAGTCTTCGAGAGACATGATCGTGGCGCTGGGGAAGAGAAAAGCAGAGTTATCCAAGAGGACAAAATGCAGACATCCCTCTAGCACCGCGGATCCAGGTGGTGTGAAGGGTCAGACACACCTGGACACAAGTCCCAGCACCAAACCTCCTAGATGCCACAGAGCGGGACGAGTCCCTTAACCTGCTGGGGCATGGGCTCTTCACCTGCATAATAGGACTCATCATAGCTCATGGGGTACACAAGGCTGTCCTGAGGATTAAATAAGGTGCCGCCCACACAGCACTCAGCAACAAGCCAAAGCCCTATCAGGACTGCATGTGTTTGAAAAGAGCAGTATGCTCTATCTTCTCTTGCAAGCTCACAATGCCAATGTCAGGAGTCCAAGACCAGCCTGGCAAGCTTGGGCAAATGGCAAAACCCTGTCTCTACTAAAAATACAAAAATTAGCCAGTCGTTGCAGTGAGCCGAGATTGCACCACTGTACTCCAGCCTAGGCAACAAAGTGAGACTCCATCTCAAAAAAAAAAAAGAAAAAGAACCTAATAAAAAACACATACAGTAGCACGATTTTTTTTTTTTTTTTTTTTTAAAGACACAGCTGTGTCTCTCAGGTCGAAGTGCAGTGGTACAATCACAGCTCACTGCAATCTCAAACTCTTGGGCTCAAGCGATCCTCCCGCCTCAGCCTCCTGAGTTACTGAGATTACAGGCATGAGGCACTGTGCCGGGCATAAGATGCATTTCAGCAGGTAGAAGAGATCATATTTAACCTCTCAGTGGAAGTTCAAAATGCATAGTACCAGCCCAACTGCCCTGCTCACAACCCCTTCTTGTGAAGGGCACAGACACTGTGGTAAAGGCACTGCAAAGTGCTGTAACAAAACAATCTACTTTGATTCTGGGAAAACCACCTTCTCTGCACCTCAGTTTTCTCTCATGCAAAGCAAGGGTAGTAATAGTACCTTCCTGAAGGGTTATGGTGGGGCAGGGGTGGCAAGAAGTCATACAGGCTGGGCGTGGTGGCTCACGCCTGTAATCCCAGCACTTTGGGAGGCCAAGGTGGGTGGATCACTCGAGGCCAGGAGTTCAAGACCAGCCTGGCCAACGTGGTGAAACCTCGTCTCTACTAAAAATACAAAAATTAGCCGGGCATGGTGGCGCACACATGTAGTCCCAGCTGCTTGGGAGGTTGAGGCAGGAAAACTGCTTGAACCCAGGAGGTGGATGTTGCAGTGAGCTGAGATCGTACCACTGCACTCCAGCTTGGGCAACACAGCAAGACTGTTTCCAAAAAAAAGAAAAAAAAAATCATACAGGAAGCACACAACAGATGTTTTACACATAAGCACATATCTACAAATGTCTGCAATTTTTATTATTGACCCTGTGTCTGTCCCCAGACCTTTAACATCCTGTTAACTGTATCCCACGGTGGTTAGAAGCACATGTTTGGAGAGGAACCCAGGAGTTAACACCCAGCTCCTCCTCCACCTAGAACTCACTGGGTATCATTGGGCAACTCGATCTCCCTCATCCTCAGCTCCTTCAATCACAAAATTCATAACTGCACTGATCAATGGCTGCATCAGTTCATTTCTTTAATATATCCTTCTATGTCTAGGTGGACTCATAGGAGTACCTACCCTCACAGGGTCTTTAGAAGTAGTGGATAGGATCAAGTTACCACAGTACCATTTAAAAACAACAAAGGGACAGGCACAGCGGTTCGTGCCTATAATCCCAGCACTTTGGGAGGCCAAGGTGGGAGGACCCCTCGAAGCCCAGGGTTCAAGACCAGCCTGGGTAATATAGTGAGACCCTGTCTCTACAAAAAGTAAAAAGATTAGCCAGGCATGATGGCGTGTGCCTGTAGTCCCAGCTACTCGGAGGCTGAGGTAGGAGGATTCCTTGAGCCCAGGAACTCGAGGATGCAGTAAGCCATGATTATGCCACTGCACTCCAGCCTGGGTAACAGTGCCAGACCCTGTCTCAAAAAACAAACGAAAACAAAAACAAAAAAACACTACCACCAATAACAAAGGGATAATACTTCGGAGTACAACACCAGAAAGAGTTAAAACGACCCTAAGGTTGACATGTCAAACAAAAAAGGTAAAAGGTTCACATATGTAGGGTACAGAATGCTTACAGAAATGCACACATGCTGAGTATATATAGAGGAAGACCCAGTATCATGCAGAAATTAGTTCTCCACAAGTTAAACTGATAAATTTAACACCATCTTAATAGGTTTCTATTGGGGGAATAAATTGGACTGATGTGAGAGATCCTGTGACGATGAAACAAGAATGACCCGAAGAACTCTGTAAAAGAAGAGATCAGGGAACTAACTCTACCAGAGACTCAGAACACACTACTATAAAGCCTCAACAACGAACAATTGTATGCTACTGGTTGTAAGAACAAAGGAACCAAAGGTCCAGAAATAGACAAGAGTTTAATTTATAATAAAGTTGGCCTCATAGATCATTGGTAAAAAGATGGCAGGTTCAGTTCTAGGGACCACTGGGTACCTACCAGGAAAACATTATTAGATTCGTACCTCATACTGTACCCTAACACAAATTCCGAATGAATCGGAAATTTTAACACACTCATTATCTGGTCAAAATCTGTTTTGCTTCTGGAATTCGAGGGAACCGGGGACCAGCTTCAGTGGGTTGTTTTTTTTTTAAAAGATGGAGTTTCGCTCTTGTCAACCAGGCTAGAGTGCAATGGTGCTCACCCAGGCAGAGTGCAACCTCTGCCTCCCGGGTTCAAACAACTCTTCTGCCTCAGCCTCCCAAGTAGCTGGGATTATAGGCATGTGCCACCATATCTGGCTAATTTTTGTAGTTTTAGTAGAGACAGCATTCCATCATGTTGGCCAGGCTGGTCTCAAACTCCCGACCTCTAGTGATGCAACCACCTCTGCCTCCCAAAGTGCTGGGATTATAGGTGTGAGCCACCACGCCTGGCCCTTCAGTGGCATTTCTGAATTTCCCTGTAGCCTCGACACCCTGGGTTTAAGTCATCCTTTCACCCTTTTTTTTTTTGAGATGAAGTCTCTGTTGCCCAGGCTGGAGTGCAATGGCACAATCTCAGCTCACTGCAACCTCCGCCTCTCCTGCCTCAGCCTCTTGAGTAGCTGGGATTACAGCTGCCTGCCACCACGCCTGGCTAATTTTTGTATTTTTAGTAGAGAGGGGGTTTCACCATCTTTGCCAGGCTGGTCTCCAACTCCTAACTTCAGGTGAACCTCCCACCTCGGCCTCCCAAAGTGCTGGGATTATAGGCGTGAGCCACCGTGCCTGGTGATCCTTTCACCTTCTTACTTCGACCTCCCAAGTAGTTGTAACCACAGGCACAAGCTATCATACCCGGCTAGTTTTTAAATTTGTTTCTAGAGATGGGAGTCTATGTTGCCCAGGATGGCCTCAAACTCCTGGGCTCAAGCAATCCTCAAGTCTCGGCCTCCCAAAGTACTAAGAATACAGATTACAGACTTGAGCTATCTCACCTGGCCTGAGTATTTACTTTCAAATAAAGGTCAGCATGCTAGTTGTAACTGGAGTGAAAATTGATTTATGTACTTTATATGTTGAAATTCTGTCAACTAATATATAAAAGCATAATTAGTGCCTGTAATCCCAGCAATTTGGGAGGCCAAGGCAGGTGGATCACTTGAGGTCAGGAGTTCAAGACCAGCCTGGCCAACACGGTGAGACTCCATCTCTAATAAAAATAGAAAAATTAGCCAGGCATGATGGCGCATGCATGTAGTCCCAGCTACTCGAGAGGCTGAGGCACGAAAATTGCTTGAACCTGGGAGGCAGAGGCTGCAGTGAGCCGAGATCGCACCACTGCACTCCAGCCTGGGCAACAGAGCAAGACTCTGTCTCAAAAATAAAAAAAATGAAAAATCCATGGAAGAGTAAAACTAGATTAAATCTATTTTAATTTTTGTAAAACTTTTTGCCATCTTAGTACTCATATGTGAAACAAAGTCACCTTTGGAAATGTATTTAATTTTCAGTTACTTCCAATTAGGTCCTGCATACTTTTCAAGGTTATTCTTACACAAAGTGCCTCTCCTCAGTTAAAAGTGAGTCGTTTAGTTTTAGGGACCTATAGAAGAAGGACCATGAGAGCAATCAAACAGCTGATGGTGCTGAGAAACTCTTGTTCTTCGAGAGGACTATCAAACTTTCTAAATATAACTATTAAACTTGCACAAAATTGTAATATTTTCAAGTCTTTAAAATAAAGCTTTGCAGCCTGGGCAACATAGAGAAATCCGCTCTTTGCAAAGAATACAAAAATTAGCCAGGCATGGTGGCACATGCCTGTAGTCCTAGCTACTGGGGAGGCTGAGGTGATCGTGCCACTACCCTCCAGCAGGGGCGACAGAGACCTTGTCTCAAAACATAAATAATTAAAACTTTGGTGCCCTAGAACTTTATTTATTCTATAATGGGGAACTGCGCTTCTACCTCATCTGATTTTTAACACTAAACTCTTCAGTATTTGGCCAAATTTTATTAACAAAAACAATGCATGTTTAGTACAAAAATAAAAATAGAAAAGGAAGAAAACACAAAAATACTACAAGAAAACACAGGCTAATTGCTTTATATAACCTTGGAGTGCAGAAGGCCCTTCTAACTATGACTAAGATATCTGACTACAAAGAAATCAAATGTCAGCCTGGCCAATAAGGTGAAACCCCATCTCTGCTAAAAATACAAACATTAGCCAGGCATGGTGGTGGGCGCCTGTAATCCCAGCTACTACTCGGGAGGCTGAGGCAGGACAATCACTTGAACCTGGGAGGCGGAGGTTGCAGTGAGCCGAGATTGTGCACCTGCACTCCAGCCTGGGCCACAGGGCAAGACTGACTCAAAACAAATCAAGTAACTTCTGTACAATAAAATATACATCAGACAAAGCTGGAAACAAATGACAAACTCCCAGTATTGTTAATTCATGTCACAAATATATAAAAATCTCCTAAAATCACGGAAAA